TTTCAGAGTATTCATTATAAAGAGAAATGCTGTGTGGCTGGGTAGGGGGTCAAATCTTAAATCAAACCTCTTGACTACCCTGCAATACGCCTGTACATAACTCCAAGAAAATCTGGCCATAGTGTCATGAAGTCACACATCTTGTAAATAAGCAAAAACAACAGGTGTTACACATCTGTTCTTTTACCAATCTTTAGAATCTATCTTTAGTGAAGCTACAGCAGAGTCTATAAACTATTGGAGAAAACCAGCTGAAAGGCCATGCCTATAGAGCTAAATTCTAAGCCAATAATAGGACAAAAATTCCCAAGAGCTCAGAACCAGATCTAGCATGATTTCATAATTTTATCATTGAAACTGAAGTTAGTTTGCAGAAGTCTGTTGAAGCTTAGGCAAAGTGTCTGCCTTCATTATAATCTAGAGAAAGCTCTTGACGTTTATATTTTAATTATAGGCATCATCTTTAACCTAAGAACTCAAGTTAGAAATTTTAAAAACTTTTTCAATTCATTCTTTATCCCTCCCAAATCAAGCTTCTTTCAAGTCTATCAAATCTACTTTTAAAACTTTTCTTTGAATCCATACCAACTTCTTCATCCTTACAAAAAATAATTGACCTTGCCTCCTTACCATTTCTGATCTGTCAAAGTGCAGCAGACTCCTAACTACGTTCCTTTCCTTCAGTCTGGTTCTACTTGACTCTATCTCCCCACTGCTCAAGAATTCTGTAACAGCGAATCACTTAAGTGCTCTGCTTTATTAAGGTCTCCTGGTAGTTTTTCATTGGCCATTTCTAAGGGAAGCTCTCAAGGCTCTCTCACAGCAGGGTCCTCAACTCATCTGACTAGTCTCATGGCCTGCTAACTCCTTCCGAACAAACTTTACACCATCAAACTCTTCATAATTCCCCAAATGTGCCAGACTTCGGCACATGCGGGTCTGGAGGCTGGGATGTCCTTCCATTTCTCTTTCCAATTGGTGATCACCTACTCTGCCTTCCACATGCGGTTTAAATGTCATGTCCTCTATGAAGTCTGCAAGATCCATCACAGAGCTCATTTACTCACTGCCTTGCAATCCAACCGAGCTCTGAACCCACCTCTGCTTCAGCGTGGTCTACACTGCATTTTAATAACCTGTGTGCATTCTGTCTCTTCTCTATACGGAACATCTTGTAGGAAAAAAAGTATCTTATCATTTGTGTTCTGTTCAAACATTAAATAATGTTTAAGCACTAGCATTTGGTAGGTGCCTGCTTGATCAATTTGTAGAATGAATATAGTCCAAGGTAACACATTTTCAAAATTAAACAAATGGAGGTTCAAACTGTTAAGTAATATATCCACTATGTATTTAACATTTATAGAAGATATAGGTGGAGAATTATTGCTAAAAGAAGGCTCAGTGAGCATAATTTCAGTTATTTAATGAATGCACAAAAGATAATACTACTGAATTTTTCTTCCATCACAGAAAATATATTCCCTGGTTCTTAATGTTTATAATTCCCTAAAAGTGATCAACTCTAACACACTTTCCCAAACTTCTATGTTATTTCTCCTGCCATGTCAAAACTAGTGCCTATTTCCCAGAAGGGTCCAACCTCAAGTTCCCTTTGAATGTGCTTAACTGATTCTCTTCACCCTCAACCACTTGTTTTATTGGTTCACTTCTCTGACCTATCGTCTCCGTCAACTTTTTTTGGTACCATTCTCAACTTCCATCATTATGAGTGCCCTACATTTTTTTCGGATTTCAGTTCTCTAGTTCCATTTCCACAGATATATCTATATCAGTGATCCAATGCCACTTAAAATTTTAAATTAACATAGATGTATATATTTTCCTTACGTAGCAAGTTTTTCTAATTTTCCCATTTGAAGGGCCCTACTAACTTCATGATCTAATAGTCTTACAATCTCATGATTATTTTTTATTTCTCTCAAAGAGAGGTGTCAAGATCCCGTGGGCTTCACAGATATCATGGGATATCATGGGTAAGGCCCATTATTCCCACTTCTGCACCTGCCATCTAACAATTTCCAGACTTCCTCACCTGATTGTCTCACAAAAGGCCTACAAAATAACACCCCAAAGAGCCCCTTGCCTCTCAGTTTCTCCTTTCCAACCTCTCCTTGGCAAGTGCTATCTGCTCTCCTCATCTCCGGTTTCATCCAGCTTGGATTCTCTGTCTTACCAGGCACATGACTGACTGCTCACTCCCACCTCTAAGCCTGCACACATGCCATTCCTTCTGGCTGGAATGCCCTCTCTCTTGCTCTTCTGCTAAGCCTCTTTATTCTCGGTCCCTTTAAAATATATGACCTTAAGGCAGCTTGCCTTGAATAACCCAACTCCAGTCCCATTCATTCCATTTTTTTCAGCATCCTTTTCTGATTATATATTAGCATCTCTCTAGCCCTGCTAGTTTGTATTCCTGCTAATTTTTCATTTTTCACTTGAATTCATATTTATGTCAATTAGCCATATGAATATGGTTTCTTTTTGGTTTTTTGTTCTGTTTTTATTTAAATTCAATTAACCAACATATAGTACATCATTAGTTTCAGATGTAGAGTTCAATAATTCATCAGCTGCATGTAACACCCAGTGATCATCATATCATGTGCCCTCCTTAATGCCCATCACCCAGTTACACTATCACCCCACCCCCTCCATCCACCTCCATGTACAACTATGGTTTCTAGTTCCATATATTCTCTTGCACCTAAAACCATCCACTCTGTATACCCACTAGGCTTGACTGCCTGCTGGGGGAAAATGAACTATAATTTCAGCAGGAGAGATTAAACAGAAGGATCATAAAGTAGATGGAAATTTTCTATTTCTGGAGAATACGATGGGCTTCTGTCTGTTTTAGATGATTTCCAATGATTCCAATACAGAGATAATGTCCTAAGTGTGAGAATGATCACATTTGGTTTTCTTTCACCTTTTTGGTTTTCCCCTGACCTTTTCATATCATGTTCAGTCTCATTCCCCTGCTCTATCACTACATCTTCTCCCTCTTTCCCAGGAAACCCCACTTAGATGTCTGGCCAGCAAGTTTAAGAGATCAGACTGAACAGAACCTCATGGAAGCACGTGCCAGATAGCTCCTCCATTTTCTTCCCCTAGGGAGAGAATGAATTGTTCTACTCCTGGAAACCCCCTTCCTCCTTTCCACCCTGAAGAGATATTCCCACTCAAAGAATCCTGTCAACCTTCCTCAGGAAGAAATTTTAGGTACATTTTGCACCACCTGAACATTTAAACATCTCAATTCCTCCTTTGCAGGTGCATATCAAAAATCTCAGAGTCTTACAGCTCTCTCCTCACGCATCAGCAAAGAGATGCTGGAAACCACACATCTGGTAAGTTGTTTTTTGGTTTGGGGTTTTCTTTTCTTTTCTTTCCTTTCCTTTTCTTTTTTTCATTAAAAAAACAAACAAACAAACAAACAAAAGAACCTCGTTAAAAATGACAGTACCGCTTGGTTTGGACTGAGAGTAGTAAGTGCCATTGCTCTTTCGCTTTTTGTTGAGGGTCGGGGTAAGGAGAGATGTTGGAATTCCTCCTGAAGGTCCCAACCATCCCTGCCCACCCCACCCCCACCTTGTTTCTCCTCAGACTTCTCTGAGCCCAGCAGAAGATGGGACCAAACCTTCTCGAAACTGTGAATGGAAGGAGGCAGCACAAATGTTTCCTTTCCCCTTGCACTCCCCACCTCAAGCTTGGGCTCAGGATCACTCATTGTTGCAATTCTTGGATGGTTCAATTAAAACTCTCCACGTTTTCAGGATTCTGGGTTCCCCTCTCTTGGATCCCCAGCCCACGGTGCCCTGAGGCCGGCAAAGAGTTCCGGTACCCTGCCTGTCTCCCAACCTCTCCGTGCTCTGGAGCCTCCTGCAACCTGGCCGGCCCACCACCGACTCGCCCGCTGCCTCCCTCCCTCGCCCTCCGCGGGGCAGGTTTCGCTTACACGCCCGCCTGCTCAGAAGGAGCCAGCGTGCCCGGCGACCGCGGCGCGCTTGGTTCCGCGCCAACAAACTTCCTCGGGACCCCGCAGTGCCCTCGCTGGCTGCGCGGCGCCGCCTCCCTTCTCACGGCCGCGGTGGCGTCGGCGCCGGCGCGCTCACGGCGGTGGCGGCTGGATCTGGCGGCCAAGGCGGCGGAGGCGGGGGGCCGCGTTCTCCGAGCCGGAGCGGGACGTTCCCGCGGCGGCCGCGGCGGCGACGACTACGGCTGCAGGGACGGCGTGGACGGCGGCGGAGCTCGGTCGGGCCGCGCTGCGCGTGCTGCAGGGTAATTAAGGAGCAACGGCGGACGCCGCGATCCCGGCGGGGGCTGGGGGACACCGGAGCGCCGGGATCCCCGCCGGCGCAGTCCTGCGAAGCCGCACTTGGGAGAAATACCCGCAGGTCGGAATAAGGAACCCCCGACCCGAGAGCGAGGCGCCGGAACCTCGGTCTTCCAGTTTATACCCCTTAACTGTCTCCTCGCTTCCAGTCGGTAACGTCTCTAGACGTAGCCCCCAAAATATGACCTAACGGCATGCATTTATATCGAGTTATCTGTTCTGTGCATTTAACCCATGGATATTTTTTTTTCTTCTGAGTCTGTTCTCACCCGCATCAGCAGTGCTCATAGCTGTCCTTTACGAATACACGCAGCCAGAAAAGCCACCTAGAACTAAAGTATAAGGCATAAAGCCTGCATTACGTGAGCATCTGAACACGAACTACATTCTGTGTAGCATTTTAAAGTGGCCGCATCGTGCCAAACGTTCTTGGTCCCATCATGGAGCTACCTACGGGAATGCGTAATTGCAGGTGTGCATTATTCAGCTACCAAAACACATTTACATGTGCAGCACAGTTTTTCCGTTTTCTGGAAAAGCAGATGCACGCAAATGACCAGAAACACGAGCAGATGACATAGACCCGGCATGTGTGCGAGAGATCAAGTGAAACGGCCGGTGGCAAGGCTGCGCAGCTTACCTTGAAAGCGCGTTTGAGCCCCTCAGAGGCGCAGTGGAGTCCGGCCCGGGCTGCCGCACCGCCGAGGAGTGGCCCGAGCGAGCTCCCTGCGAGTGGGGAAGGGGGACGCATCTCTGCCCTTATTAGTCTCTCCCAGTGTGACCCTCCCACTCGACGAGGACGGAGGACTCCGCAAGATAGGACTCCGCCAACTCGTGCACAGGTTTTTCCTTAATTACAACAATGTTGCCTCCGAGCTAGGAATAATGCCTTTCAGGTTTATGTTTTATTAGCAGTTTCACAGATAGAATGACTGTTGGATGCAGGTGCTAGAGTGTCTCACTTTGATTATGAAGTGTCTTCAAAGTATTGTATGTGGCATACGTTCACAGGTAGATAATTGGCTTTTTAACAGTTGAGCTAAAAAAAGATCTCATTTGTGTTTCATTTTTCACTTTTATGTCAGGAGTTTATATAAAGTTAATCAAGAGATCCTTCCCGCCTTCTAATGTTCATGTGCACAGGTTTGTGTAGCATCATTTGTCTCAGAGTACATAAAACTATCTTGTGATTTTAAGTATCATGTCTTTCCATGGATTGGTGCCATGAATCCTGGGTTTTGAACTCTTTGGGATCCCTTTGAACATGTAAGGTAACATTTTTCTGCAGATAAATGTGTGCGCTTGCGCGCGGGTGTACGCGCGTGCGAGTATACACATACGCACACACACATATAGTGGGGTATATATGTATGTTTGTAGGCCTATATACATATTGTGTGTGGTTATATATGGGGACATATATCCATATATATATGCACATATATATATGTACGTATACATATATTTGAAAGAAAAACAAAACTATTATAGAATTCAGAAAAATAATCAGGCATTAGAAAATGGATAAATTGGTTTAATGTTCTTTAGTTCAGTATTGCCATAGTTGGGGAAATATTATAAATTATGTTATTGATCCATAATAGTGAAAATCAGTAAGCTTTAAACCAGAAAAATATGCTTCATGTGTCAGAGCTCACATATCAGGTAATAAATAAAATTAGGCTGGCAAAAATTAAAAATGTTAAGAAAAAGTTTAGGAGATAGCTCATTTCCACTTCATTTAAGTGAAGCTATTGAAGAGTTAACTAGTGGTTTTTAAACCTGCCTTTCATTGTAATCAAAATACCTGCAGTTTTAGTCTTGCATCCATAGTGATGCAAACCATGTTTATGCGTCAGAATTTGAAACTTCTTGATGCGTTTCCTCCTCATGTGATTTTCATCACTAATTTTTGGTTGACTGTGGAAAGAGGCCAAGGAGGGAGGATATCACATGAGTCATGCTGCTTGAATGGCCATTTGAAAAAACGGTGATTCACAAAACTTCATCAGACTTTTGGTGATCATTCTCTAATGTTTAGAAAAGTGCTACCCCTATTTGAACCTTTTTTTTTTCTTCTAAGCAATTGTACTTTACCTTTCATTTGCTAGTGAATTGAAATAAGAGCATCCAGGCTTTATTTCTCTGATAGATTATCACAGTCACCTTATTTACATTTAATTGGTACTATTTAAAGTGAGGCTTTAAAACTACTTAAAAGAAAGCATGAAATTTTGCCTCTAATCTGTGTTTTAATACAAGTAAATCAACTGTATTTTAGTGTTATTTTTGCAAGCTTTTTAATAATTTCATAATCCTTAAACTTTTTGAAATAACCACTGTTATAGTTTTGCTTCAATCTCAAATTGCTCCTTTCCTTACTCACAGCATTGAACTAAGCAAGAGTTTGGAAGAAAGTGAGAAATGGTTCAAAATAAAAATTTTATTATCTGTGGCTCACTCTGCACCAACAGTCCTAGGCCAATAAATATTCCTGGTTTTTCTTCCAGGAAAGGTTTCAAATTTGGGCTGGTTTCATAATTAGAAACTATGATAGCCCTAGGGTTTGGCCCTTTGAGTCAGTTCTTTTCATTGAATTTTGAAGTGACTTCAAATAGAAACAGCCCCAATTGAGCACCTTTTATTTATACAACGCAAATACAATTATAAATGATCAGTTTTTCCACATGCTTCTGAAGCTACTGCTGGTGAATGCACATCTGAAAATAAGAGCAGATCTGACAGGACTTTGAATTCTGGCAAACAGCTTGCAGGGCTTCTAGCGCCCGGTTTAGCTGTGTGCATGTGTGACTTTAAAAAATTAAAAAGATTTCAAAAGCAAACTGCTTTCAACATTTACCCGCCATGGAAGATACATTTAACTATTTTTATACCGTAAGAGGAATACATTCCTTTTCGTACATTAAAAAAACTGTTCCATATTTGTAAATTTAAATGATATAAAAGGAATATTGCACCCTATTTTGATAACTGTCCCATAATAAATTTAAAGAATGTACTTTTTTTTTTTTTTTCTGAGCCTCACTTCTCAATCTCCCCGGTTAACACAGCTATTTATTTTCTGTTTTCTTTCTTCTGTACCTCTGTACTCCCAGCCATGTTACTTTGCCTTTTCATTTTGTAGTTTCTTTCACTTTTCTCCTCCTTCATAGTTTCCATTTTCCAAGAAGAAAGAATTTCAGCATTGCCCTCAGCTAACTTCTTAGTTACCAAACTATAAGAGTGTTCATTCTCTATTGAATTGGCAGGGCACAGCCATACATGACTCCCATACATATCCCATGGAAATACTTCAATGCATCAATAGTGGCTGAACAGACAGTACTGTTAACTATAATTACCGAATATGACTTGTCATCACTATCATGCACTCCCCATTCTTTCCTTTTTACACCAGTACTACGTATAATATTCTTAAGGGTAAACAGAAAGTTGGCATATCCGTTCTAATTTTTTAGTAATCATCAAAAGTAAGGACATTTACATTTTTAAAGGCTATTTTTGCCATCGTTTCTGAAAATAATTCTCCTCACAGAGAAAATAATATTCCACTGGTGGTGGTTATGTTTGCTTCCATTCCTGGAAGACATTCTAGCTCCTCACACTGACTCAGCTTAGAAATGAGAGGAAGAGGTGATCATAGATCTGACATTCACCGAGTTTATTAGACTTACTTCCTAGGGATCGGTGACCCTGAAAGGAAATATGGTAAAAGACAAACGCCTGACTGGGGAAAATGATTATTAATACACATCCAGCTCTCGAAAATACTTTTTTAAATGGAGACAGATAAATATCCCAATAGAAAAATAGGCAAAAGTGTGAAAAGGACATTTACAAAGGAAATACAAATGGTCAATAAACGCATGAAAAAATGTTCCATTAAATTAGTATTCAAAGCAATTAATTTCTGAAGGAATGAGTTTGTCCCCTACCCATTTTTCCAGGATTAGAATTGGTGATTATATACAGTGTTGGCATAAATGAGGAGTATCCTCACACTTACAGAGGAGCACAGAATAGTTGTCTTTCCGAAGGGCAGATTTGCCGTATTTACTTAAAGCTCTAAAAACTCCTCTAAAACCATTAACTGTGGTTATTTCTGAGTTATGATTATGGGAGATTTTCATTTCTTCCTTTTGATTATTTATGATAATATAAAGTTTCTACAGTGAATATGTATTACTGTTGTAATAAAAATACAACAGACATAAACTAGTGTGGTATTTTTTCTATCGCCAACAAATTAATGAAGCAGTAGTGTTAAGAGAGCCGAAAAAATTGCCTCTCAAGTACTCTTTCCAGTCATTTCCAGCAGGAATCTTCCACGTAAAAATTAGTATGTAACTTAAAACATTTAAACTTATTCTAGTGATTTCTCTAGGTAGCAGATATTAATTAAACCGTTCATTCAGCGCGTTTTAAATGGCTCTTAAGCTGAGCACTGTGCGATATACGAAGATAGGTTGCACGTGGGCCCCACGTCCAGGAGTTTAACATTTTGTAAGAAAGAGAAGGCATGTATACACATACACAATGATAATATGAAATGAAAATACAAAGTGCAAAAAAGTAGATACAAATATTGGGAATGTTCAGAGGAGGGGGGAAGCTATTAATATGTAGAAGCATGAGGGTCAACAACTTCTGGTGAGCAAGAATATATCTGTTGCTTTATCAGTCTAAATAAATCTACATAAAAATCATCAAGAATCATAGTACCAAAAGGGGCACTGTAACTAAATAATTATTTGTGAAATGATGAGTTTGCTGGTTCTGTAATAAATATTCCTTGAAAGAATCAAGAGAGGGGAGAAGAAAAACTAAGACTCAGCAGAGAACAAACTCACCTCTCTACCTATTCTGATGGGGAAAATGAAGTTCCTTTCTATACTGAGTTAAATCCTTTCCTGGGAATTCCAGGCCTGAAACAGTGTAACCTCAGACCGCTACCCTCACACCCCTTAGATGCACAGGAGGCCACAACCAGAATAACCGCTGGTAACCACAGAATGAACATACCCAGCGCTTTCTCCCTGCTCTTCCTCACCTGCCTCCAGCTGAACCTCCAGGTAGCCGTTGAAATTTGGCCCACCTTCTGAAGCTTGTATCGTGTTCTCTGTAACAGGGTTTCTTCCTGTCACCAAGCTCTCTCCCACCTCTAGACAGCAGAGCAGTCACTTTTTAATGACAATCTACTTTGCACTGCCTTGTTTCACACACATTTCTGTATTTGGCCCTCTGACATGATTGTAGACTCCTGGAGAACTAGAATGAAGTCTTCTCCTTTTTCAATAATACCCAGAGCACCCAGTACAATAAATTGTTTTTTCTTAATATAATCTTCAAATATTTGTTGAAATGAGGCCTGTAGAGGTTAAGTAACTGAGAACATACAGTATTCTAATTAAAAAGCATAGACCGAATCTCAGAGTTTATATGGAAAAAAAAGGTAGGTTGATTTTTTGTATGCTATCTAGGGAATTAAATTATTATGCTGTTAAAGTAATCACAGGATAATTTGTTCTTACATATAACAGATTCTCAGAATAGGGATATTTATTTATTTATTTTCTCTGTGTGTGTGTGTGCATGCACGTGCACGCACACGTGGATAGCAAAGTATCAAGACAACAAGACCATTATTAGTTGAAAATGTCCCCATTATCTGTTCCCTCACTCCTTTTCCACACTAAAGGTTAATTTTCATTATTGACAAAGAGAACACAA